TTCCATTTCTAATTTTTTTTCTATGTGATAACTCTTTGAAAGTAAGTGGAGTTGATTTCTTGATAATTCTACTGGAATGTAAATTAGGCAGGTCAATAGCTAAGTTGGCCAAATATGCATGGAAATCTCGTGCGGCTGTCTTTGTATTTGACGTCAGTGGGCGAGGACTTTTGATATTGGCATGGGAGTCCTCATCTGATTTAAATCCATGTCTACATTTTTAAAATGTAAAGCTACAATTCTATTTCACAATGAAGTGGAAATACTAGTACAAGGAATCACTGTCTAGGTAGTATAGTATGCCAGGGACATCAATTATTAATATTGATGCCCTGGCATCATTATACTAACCAGACGGTGCTTCCTTAATCAAATACATGTACATTACATGTAGATTTCGTCAAATAACTGCAATTCACCTATCATTGATCAAACTATACATTTTTTAAGAACTTTTCATAAATCTGGGTTGGAATCCAGACGATCGTTAAATAGACATACTATTGATTAATCTGACGAGTTTTCATCAATTTCAGGAATTTAGAAAGTTCATTATTTCAAACCATGCATAACGATACAATTTAATTTTTCGTAAGATTAGAAGTTGAGCTCATATGCTAAAGCATGACATGTGACTCTTGGCTATATTTTTCTGTCAAGCAGGTGAGAATTTGTATTTGGGAATATGATCGCGAATGTCCAAGTCATTCCGACATTTGGAATCTATATAACAGAAACCAATTTCTATAATGTTTCTGAGATGATGTTCGATTGTTGTGTCCAAGTGTTACCCCCCCCCCTCCCCCCCCCCAAAAAATGACACAAATGTCTATTATTCCTCAGTTCAGCAGCATTAATATCATTACTCATGATTACTGCTTTTGATACAGTCTGATTTACTCGATAAAAAAAAAACCCAATCAATATAAATATAATTTAAAGCCGCTTCATCCGAAACAGGCACATTTTATCTTAAACAATAAAAATATGTCATTACAAAGATAATATATAAAAATTAATTATAAGATTGATTTAATAGTTTATTACAACAATCCTTACATGGAAAACATAGACTAAAAACCTTGCTGACAAACAGCAGTTCCTGACGGGAAGTTAAGATCTGTTTTTAAGTCTGGAATAAACTTTCTCAAAACAATACTTCATTATGTAAATGAGCCTGGTGTTTTATGTTTTTTCGCGTGGTAATTAGAAAAAGATTTTATTATTTATGATTTAACCCCGAAGAACCAATTTTATACACCATGACTTCATTTAAATGAAAGTAATATTTATTATATTATATTGGGATCGAATTTTTTTGCGAGGGGATGGCCCGCGGTGCCCTAATTTTCGTACTGGACTTCTCTCTTTTTTCATGATATTTGAGGGGAGGCATTGTATCTACACAATAAAGATGTTGGTAATATTTAAAAACGTACTGAGTTCGAGACCCGCAACGACAAATTACAAATACAGGAAAAATGAGATAAATTATATATCTAAAATTAATTAAGTTATTATTAAGAAAGTACCAGGTTATATAAGGGTCCGTTTTCTCGTATACGGCAGTTATAGATTAATAACATTTAGTATAAATATTATTTAAAAAAAAGAGTTTGGGTCTCTTTTGTTCTATCTAAAGTATTTCCTTGCAATTGCTAGCTATAGAATTAATCTTTGCTTACTTTATTGTACTGATATTAAAATTATTGGAATAAATATGATTCTTTTATAAGCATTTTCCTTACATCCTTTTACCTTGGTTAAACAGGTGCTTTTTCATTATCAATTTGACGCGTTTTTCTGACGCAACTATTTTACGTTTTAGTTGACGTCATATTACGGCATCCTTGACGTAATAGTCGTAACGTTATTCGGCGTCGAAAGGGTTAAAGATTTTAGTATATGGAGCTGATTTTTTACATACCAATAACCAAAATGTAGGAATGTATTCAAACATTGGTAATACTTCTCAGTACACAATAGACTTTCTGTAATTCAAGGTGTCCGCAAACTTTTCTTACAACCCTCGTACGACCGCTATCACTGTGAAAAATGAAAAGCATAATGTAATGTATATAAAATTATCAATACTAGCCCCACCCTCACCATTTTTTGTATTCACAAAGACCGCGCCTTAGGTTCATGGAACAAACTTAGATTTAAGTCAAATTTTCAAATCACCTATAAACATTTTTAATTATCTATTTCGTAATTGTCAGCCAACGGTGACAATCAAACTGCGGGTTAATCAAAAAATGAACGGCAACTGTTTGACGACTTAAAATTATTTAATTTTTGAAGAGTATCGCTGTTTTTAACCCTTTTGACGCCAAAGCGACAAAAATGTCGTTTACTGTGTCAACACCAAACCGACAAAAATGTCGTTTTCTAATATATGTTTAACTTTTTTGTTTATTTACCATTTATCTCAATTTAAACTAAATACAGTAATATCTATATTTTACACAGTTATAGGTCTTCATTTTTAAATTGGTACTGGTGTAAATATGACGTCATATTTCTTTATATTGACGTTAAACTATGACGTTAGTTTAGGAGTAAGCTAAATAAAATTTGGCGCGCCATAGCATATTTTTTTTTATTTTAATGATTCAAAGTCCTCGGACAGTTTACACTTATTTACCCCGGTGATACCTACATGCATATACATGTAAATATTTTATCGATCGAGAGAGATAGAGATAGATCTGTGAATGTACAATTTACTTCATAGGCGTTGGAACCGGGGGGGGGGGGGGGGGGGGGCAATATATACAGTCTTTAAGTCTTCATAAAAGGTATTTTAGCATTCAAAAAAATAAGATTTGTTAAGATAAATTGAAATTATAGACTAAACACATTTAAAAACTGTAGTCCCTGATATTAACATTCACTCACTTTGACATTTTATTGAAAATGCAACTTAAATTTTTAAGAAATAAAACACAGTTAGATAAACGCAGATGCGTTATTATTTATTTTTTGAGCATAATACCGTCAATGATTTTATACTTGATAATACATGTTTGTAAACAATAGAAACAACAATAGAAAAGGCTGAAAAAATGATATATTGATATTCCACATTTATTTGCGATCTTCTGATAAAAGATTAATTAATCTTCATATGGCGACAATTTTTGAGAATGAATTAATGATAGCTGTTTAAGTACTATCACCTGTTATCGTAAGCGCTATTAACGCCATTCAAGAAATCTGGGCCTAATTTATTTTTTTAAAAATTAAAAATTTGTTTGTTTCCAGAAACCTACCGATCAGCTGAACATCCTATTACATTGGTTAAACAGGTGCTTTTTCATGATCTCTTTGACGCTTTTTTTCCTGACGCAACTATTTTACGTCTTAGTTGACGTCACAGTACGATATCCGTGACGTCTTAGTAGTAACGTTATTTGGCGTCGAAAGGGTTAAGAAATAAGGTATAATTTTTTTGAGTTTTATTGGGATGTAAAACGGGTTGGTCACCAGATCAAATCTCATAAATCCCGATTTGTGACTATTTATTACAAATAGTTACGTACTTACCTTAAGTTTGAAACTCATAACGTTATTTTTTCAAAACTCAACGGAATGTGTTTATAACGTCGATCGCTTATGACGTCACTATCAAACTACGTAGACCGATTATTACTAAACAATCAATTTACGGTCACGTGACCAACTTGTTTTACGAAGATGTAAAAACGCCTTGTTCAAATAGTGTTATATAAGGGACAACATTTGCAAATGTAAATATTAAAAATTAATGTCTGCTTCGCATCTATCGACGTACTGTCAGGCGATCATGTTTTTAAACCGAGAAAAATTGGTCGCCTGACCATTAGCTTAAATGTTACTTAGGCATAAGGAATCATTTTCTACTTTGTTGTGTATGCCAGACCATCAAGAATAGTAAGACACAAGAATTAATTTGCATACCATGTGACGCCAGTATTACATTATCCCACGTTTCAAGGTTTCAACTATCATTGATGCACTTAATCTCCGAAAAACCAGAAAATGTCACTTCTAAGAAATAAAAATTAAAATTGGTTGGCTTAACCTCTACAACATTTTATGATGAAATAAAGATTTTATGGCTTAGGCTCATGGTATTTCATGAATTAATAGAAAGTACATATGTTTGACTCTTAATTTGATAATGCTTGATATGTAAATGAGCTTAGCACATTAAAATAATAAATATTATTAAAGAAAGCAAGAAGAAAAAAAAAGATTTTTTACGTCAAAGAAAATGTATATTTTACTTAAAACTTTAATTTTTGAGACTTATACTATCAATTACAAAGTTAAAAGTGAACCTAACAGTGAAATAGAGAAAGTGTTGATGTTTCATGAATTGTTTTAACAACATTATTTTTGGAATATTCTTTCGGATCATTTTTCACTTCAATTCACTAATAATATTAAATTTGTATCAAAATAAACGATTATTATTAGAAATTTATTAAGATGATACACTGATACAAGCATTACGATTTTAAAATATTAAATTACAAGAACAAAACGTAGCTACAAAATAACAAATTAATATGTCAATATGCTTACCTTAATGCAAAGTTAAATATAATTGAAAAAAGTAAAATAAGAAATAAAATAAAAATTGACAATCAGTGGAAGCAATTACATTCAATGGTCATTTACCAAACACCAAAACTGGGTGAACATTAACCTTTGAGTTTGATTTTTTTTTAATACTTTTTTCTCAATTCTTTTTTCTTTTGAACAATATTTCGGACAAAAAAAGATAACATTTTTTGCAGTTGTTTCGTTCCATGAAGTTTTGACTTTGCTTTAAATTGCTGCCATTATGGGACAATTAGAGATCGTTGAGACAATCTAAATACATATATATATATATATATATATATACATTTGCAAAAATATGATATAGTAGATGAAAACTTGAAAATATTTATAGCTCGATGAACAAGGAAGTTATAAACTTACATGAATAACATGAATTATATTGTTATATTCATTTTGTTGCGTATATTCTATATATGGGTTTTGAAATCTAAGAATAAAGCAGAAAACACGGACTTCGGTAATTCCAGGGGTTTTATCTAAATGCCTTGAGGAGTAAGCATACCGTGTTGACAGGACACACTTTTCGTGTGCTCTCTGTATATATTGAATTTCATCAAGAAATATTGTATATTTATTTATGTCCAAGGAATGATCTTTAAAAAAGGCTGTATGAAAGAACAAGGTACAGTTTGAATACGAATTATGCCCTGTATTTTTTACAAAATATGAAAGTGATGTAAGAAATAAAAATTCGTTCTGACTTATCCATAGGGATTCCATGCAGTAAGTATACACAAATCGTTTGTTCCATTTGTACTCTTAAATAATAGTGGTGATGTCATTAACTTGTGAATTTTCCCGTACTTTCTTAAAAAGTTGCATAAGACATCAACTTTCAGTGGAATTTTAATTCAGAAAACATGCCCTGCCAACCTTGCCCACGAAGATTTTGAGATATGTGATTTTTCAAAGCAGTTTACATATTATATAAAAAAATTAAGTGGACAACGGTGACAGACACAATTTTCTAAAAAGAAAATAAGCACAGAAATGAGTCGTACTGAGGCTTTTCTGTATTTAACTTAGAAATGTACCAAATTAATGACATCATATTTCCAGAATGGTCCTCCTTCATGTAATATTCTTTAATGATTTATCATATTCATCTAGTCAACTTTTGTTATTGCCAGAGATTTAGGGCACAATAAAGCCCAAACTGTACCTTTTTTAAGTTTTCATATCGATCCACATAAACAAAAAATTCACATGGATATTTATGTAGCCAGTGTTTCTTTCTTTGGCTTCGTTGTGGCTTCTCCTATAGCTTCTCCTATAGCTTTTAAGCATTTTCTCACTTGTCCATACTCAAGTCCAAGTTGTTCTAATTTCTCTTCATTAAGTTCCAGAAATGTTTGTAGACAATCAATTTTACTTTTACGCAAGTTTTCTTCACAGTCCTTCAGATTATGTCTTTTTAAAAAGTATACAAAGGTATCTTTGTCATAGCCTGAAATAAATTCATAAACAACTGTATAGAATAAATTGATTCTTACATATTCCATTATTGTACATCTGACTAAATCGTAGCATAAATGTCAATTTAACTTACAAAAAATAACTATATTTCCATAATTTATTACATATATTAACATGAACATGAATCTATTTACCTCGTTTAACTGTAACAGTACTGTCAGAACTTTTTGTACTCGTAGTAGTTAAACGCCTTGCTCTCTCTGCTAAAGGTTCCTGGAAAGTATATAAAAACATTAATGAAGTGCATTTATCCTTATTATAACTACATTTTGATGTTGGAAATAAATAAGAGGGCCCTTGTACAGAAAAACTCACCCTTTCCGTATTTTCATAAGAATCTGAAACAAAATAATTTTCACATTGACAAGTTAAGTTCAGTTATCAGATAAAATGTTTGTTTAATTTTTTATCTAAATTCATCTGTACAATTTATCTTAATGAACTAATCAAGTGAAATGATTTATTCATTAAAATTGTTAATGATCCGTTCGACAATTACTTTTATTCTAATTACTGTATATATATCAAGGATTTTTTTTAGTCGAAGGAATCAATCATTGTGTATGAATTATTTTTAAAAATTCAGCCCCCCGTTTCCTTTCAAGCATGGTACCTTTATTAAGTTTTTCTAAACGGCTTGGGTCCTCAGGGCTTCTTAACTGCAGAGAAAAATATGAAGCCGGACATAATATTAATAAATGTACAAATAATTTAAAAGCAAAGCTTAATAAGTTAACATATGATAGAAATAAGAAGATTTTTACAGAAATAAAAATAAAGCTTGCAGGGATCAACAATATACAATTTTGGCATGCTTATAGAGTAATAGCAGATTTATGGTTTCCTGAGAGACGAAAGTATGTCGATTTGTGAAAATTCTTGCTTAAAAAAAGAAAAATAATGAGCAGAACTTTCTTTAAGCAAGATAATAAAGACTCGAGCGCGTCAGTAAGTGTTAAATTGTTCATCATGGTCACGCATTTATTCTACAATTCGTTTGAAAAAAAAAAACCCTGAACAAGGAAGAATTTTATGCAGATGGTCCAAGGGTCATACGCAGGTAGGTTAAGGTTACAAACAAATATTCTTCTTGCCTATATGATATGACGTCAAAGTAAGCTATACGACGTGAGGTTTAGAGATATCAATTTCTTAAAATTAATACCGAAGATTGATGTGAGGTCGTAAAATCGAATCAAAATATGAAGAGGCATAATATAAACGGAATTTTGTCGTTTTTGGGCCTTTATAGTTATCACAGGGGTTAAATACCAAACCCTTGACGTCATAACTGTTTATCATGCAGTAGCAGAGTAAAAATTAATGAAAAGTAGTGAGAATACATTCAAACAAACACAAGAAATCAAAGTTTAAAAGCATTTAAAATGAATATCAACACTACGCAACATACCTTGAAACTTCATTTTTGTTTCTATCCAAAGATCTAATGCTATTGTTTTTGGAAAGTGCTGCTAGAATCATTTGGTTTACAGGAATTGATGCATTTTTTTTTCGATATTATGAACAAAATGTAAAAATTTCGGGAGGTTTTCGTCCGAAAGTGTTAAATAATTATTTCTGTGATAGGTCAGTAGGATTCTAGCAGCACTTTTCATGGTACATAGATTTTTTTACATAACTATTATTACAATTGAAACTAATTATCCCTGGGGTAGTGTTGAACTTTTAACTTTTTCATTAGGGCATATTTTCTAATAATAGACGTCACGTGGTGACGTCGTGGTGAAGTGCTTCCTGTAGTATAAGTCCCATTGAAGTCTACAGAATGCATAATTATAGCAAAAGTTTTATCCTTAACTTTTCTGATTTATTAGTGTTACATAATATAAACAAGTGTTAATTCGCCGAATTCTGAAGCATGTGCTGCTTTAACATACCCGCGTATCCCGCAACAGATCTGCTGACGAGTTTTTTTTCGGAAAAAGGATTTACATTAGGCAAGCTCCAAAGTACAGGAAAATGCTTTTGAAAGTATATAATAAACGGTGAATGATCACAAAACAAAACATGAACTTTAACGGTGATCATATTATCTGTGAATCGCAAAATTAATCATTGATGAAGTTTCGCGACTTCTTAAACGTTATGAAACTCTCAAATTCCAGTACATATGTGAACTTTGGAATGAATCCAGAAAATGAAGGACCTTATAACTGGTTTTTCATTTAACCACGCGTGTCTTTTTTACCAGAAACTGAAGAAAGATTTCATAATCTAACATCGAATAAACGTTGAATCACTTTCATTTTCTGATTTTTATATATTTTGACTTTAATTCTTTGGACTAAATAGAACTGAAAAATCTTCAATCTTACAACTTGACCATAATTCACCTAATATCCATGGGTGATAACTAGTCGACGCATAATCGATTTCATTCAAAATATGTTGGTTCTGCGGGACGAAACGTTGATAAAAGTAGCATGGCTCATGAGTGTTTTAAATTACACTTTTCTTAAAACATTTTCATTTTTCTTTGATAGATTACCTTCCTTTTTCGTCGTTTTCTTGACTCTGTAAAGATAGATGATCCAAAATGTTAGATATATTACAAATGTCTTTACATCTTATATTTTCATCCTCCAATTATTTTCCCTTTAATTTTATTTCGTTAGAAAACCATTGCCTTTTATCAGTTAATGAACAACACTAGGCATATCATCCTTTTTAATTGAATCATTCCCCTTAAAGAACAACCACATAGATTTACACTTTTTAGCGTATCCCCTACAGGATTTGTTAAGCTTTTAAAAAGCGCATGTAAGACACACAAATATACAAAAACATCCTCATACAAATACTTACAACCTCCCTCACACTTACAAAAAATACACCCAAACTCATTCACACATTGAAATTCAGATTGACTTGTCAAGAAAAAGAAGAAAGAGAAAGCATGATCTATAATTATGCATTAGTCTGATGCAGTAAACATAAACATGCTGTGGTGAATTATTAAAAAGCAAAATTTACGTCATGTGCTATTTATGAACATTTTGTTGTTCTTTCATTAAGTGTTCAATATAAAATGCGTTTACCAGCGTTCAAAATATATTTACCATATTCGTTCGTAATAATCTGTACAGCATCATCAATTTCTTCTCCATTCAAATTTTTAACATTTGCTGCAATTGTCATTTTATATTATAATATATACAACACATATCCAATAACAAAATAAATGTTGAAGTAAAAGTATAACGTTCAAATTGCTTTTTTTTTTACCTTTTTTATTTGAGGATAATCCATTGTCTTCTGATGTTTCTTTCTGATTACAAACCTGATTACAAGCCTGTATACAACCCTCATTACAAGTTATACCTGTTTGTTGATATAAGGTTACATAAACGATTAGAAATAAGATACAAATGAACAATAAAATTCAAATTCATCTGCTGTTCTTAGAAAAAAATAATCTTGGGCCTTTTTTGTTTCCGAAAAATTTGACTTGATATTCGGACCCCACTTTTGCCTAGTAATCAGTTTTCATTTTGTATCGAGAGAAAAAATTAATCATGACTTGAAAATTTTCAATTTTAATAGAATGACTATAGTTGCTTCGGACCATAATATCACAAATCGTGGACCTACTATCTATAAGAAATATTTCCTAGATGTTCCGATAAATATTGTATCCAATTCAGGGTAACAAATCGACCCTTGTAATTTCTAAATAATCGCGAATAAAATTTTTTTTAAAGATACTTTCTTTAAAACATTGTAAGAATTCTACAACAACACAGGTACTTTTACAGAATTTTTCTTACATGGCTCTATATTACATGTACCAAGTATATCTACCATCTACTAGTGTGGGCTTTACCTTGCCCAGGGGTCGACAATTTGACCCAATTCGATTCATTATACCCGTAATTAGGATGTTTGTTGGTCAATCACATGAATTCAAGTCATGTTGTTCCTTTAAAGAAAATGTTGTTTATTCGATTTTACTGTATGTCAGGAAGCTGAAACTAGTTTAATAAAATTTAAGAGGAGTGTTATATATTCTTAAATCATATATGCTTAAATCAACATTTACCAGATTGTTTTTATTCAAATGCTATAATCAACTAGTGTAATTGAAACCTTCAAACTGGAATTCATATCTTACTTTCCAAAAGTTAATGAATTATTGTCCCTGTACATTATGTGGCTATATCAACTTTAGCGCAATCATCAAGTGTTGAGTTGTTTGCGAAATCATAAATTAATGCTACAAAAATCTGCATTGTGCATTATATATTTTTTACGATTTCTTAGCGGTATGTATGTTTTTGCTAAGTTGTTTGCCCTAAAGCCGCTTAAGTCTAAAGAATGCTTTTTAAGTATATATACAGTTTTCCTTTTAGTGTGAATTACTGGTATTCAAAGTAAAACAGCATTCCTTAGAAAATCCCCAATCTTTCATCTGAAATATTCTATTTTTTCTTCGATTTCTTCCGATAGAAACATGCATATCACAAGTTTTAGACTTTCATTTAAAATTGAAATAATGATAAGGAATTGTAAAAGTATAAAATATTACAAAGATTTAAGAAATTCAAATGTCAACAATAATTAAAACCTTATAGGATAAAATAAATATTAAAATTATGTCTATAGCAATTTACATTCTAGTATCAGAATTTCAGCAACTGACAGCGTAGCAAAGATAAAAAAAATATTGAATAAATGATCCTTTTTAGTCATCAACAAAAATTTCATCCTTATACATAATTATTTGAGTTGATTCGAGAAAAACTTTGATACTTTGAAAAAAACTTTGGTATAAACTATAACACTTTGAAAAACTTTATCGAAAACTTTGACACTTTGATAAACTTTGGCGAAAACTTTAATACTTTGAAAAACTTTGGCGAAAACGTTGATACTTTTAAAAAAATGTGGCAAAAACTTAAAAAAAACTTTATCGAAAACTTTGACACTTTAAAAAACTGCATTGAAAACTTTGACACTTTGAAAAACTTTATCGAAAACTTTGACACTTTGATTTACTATAGTAAACTATATCAGTTATCTGCGACTTATACGTCTACTGTATACATCTACTTCTATATAACAAAGATTGTTACTCATCAAGAAGTCAAATTTCATAAATTACCTCTGAAACACCTTGGAAATTTTTTTTGGAGACAAAGGAGAGAAGGTAAAACCACAAGGAGAAGTAGAAGGAGTACTCCAGAAAAAACTGCAAACGCAATAAATTCTCTGAAAGAAATACAATATAGTAGAAATTGCATTTGAGTAGGAAATTATCTTTAGTTATATATCCTGAAAGATTATATTATTACATGTATTTTATCTTTATGTAGACTACCGGTATATTAAACTTAATGTATGAGACTCACTCCTTCCAGTTGCTACATGTACATGTATTTGAACTCTTTTTCTTTATGGACGTGCTACAATCAGCGTCTATTAAGTATATGAATATGATTAAAAATTAAATTCATGAATTACAAATCATGTAAGACATTGCAAAGTAAAAAATCGACTTGATTCTCTTTAAATTTAAAGTAAAATATCAAATTGGATAGTTTGCTTTATTAGGAAAGCTCCTGCAGTTTTTTTTTGTATCACATATTCTAGTTAACATTCACGCAATATGCAGGCGACAATGGTATAATGTTGTATTAATGGGAGACGTTGATGATAAAAATTGGCCCATAAAAAGTTTTAATGGTATTTTGCTATCAATGTCTTTTTGTTGTCCAATACAAAATATTAAACAGCTTCACTACACGTTGAAAGCAACGAAAAAATAAACACAACAAAATCCCTATCTGTCAGTCTCATTCTTGCTTCTGATCTTTAAGAACATTTTTTTTTTGGATATTAAAACAATTGAAAATTGTTCACAGAAAATTTATTTTTAATACTTAAAATTTGAAATAGGTATTTGGCCTACTTCCAAATGAACAATTTTGTTTTGAATCTTTGCTAATTTAGACATTGAAGATGTCCAAAATTTGTGATATAATGATGTGAATTTCTTGACAGAGAAAAAAGACAAGATTGTTATCTTTGTCAGGAATTTCCTTTAGATATATAACTAATCATATACTATAATAAATCTAGACATTTTCATCAATTCAGCATGAAAAATAAAAGTGTTTACTTTAAAACAGAATGAAAACGATGTATTAATTAGCTTGAGTTTAACAGATTAAGCATTACAGCAGTGGTTCTCTATGAAAAAGAAACCTGGGACACACGTGCCAGTGAGCCTTCAAATCAACCCAGCATTCCATTTCGCTTCATCTATCTAGTTTTCAAATTATTAGGAAGTGGATACGAAATAAAGTCTATTAAGGTGCAATGTCTTTTTTGAGGGAGGGGGATAGAACTCCTGAGGATATCTAGACCTGTCATATTGCAAGTGCGGGAGTGAATCACATATTTCGGTTTGAATTATCGCGATCGCTTAATGGCTATTCTATTAAATATTTCTTTTCCGAACTCCAAAAATTAGTTATATAAAGCATATAAATCGATTCAAAATTCCCAGATCAATCCATGCATCTGATAAATTTATGCATGTTTTGACAACTTAATTTTATCCGTCCGCAAGTAAGTTATGGCAACGTATAGAGATTTCAATGCAATTGACTAATAAAAACACATAAGGAATAAACTTATTGCACAGAAAAAGTTGAAACTTGTTTTCTTATGCAAACTTGGTACCCACAATATGCCTAGACAGTGAACATTATGAAGTCATATTATGAGGTCATAGACCTGTACTACACAAGTTTATAAGGAACATCCCCAAAATAGCTTCTGCAGAAGGGCATTCTCAACTTTGTTCAGAAACAAGGTATTAGACGCAGAATATGACAAGGATTTATGATATTGCTGCATAAATGTCGACAGCGCAATTATTTATCTATTGTTCAAAAGTTTTAAGTTGAAACAGGGTAAAAATTCACGGTCCGGTGTAAGTATCCTAAAAAAAAAATAACAATTGAGAAAGCGCCTAGGAATTGTGCAGCAATTTTATTCATTTTTAAAGCATTCTTTATAGTCTTTTACTTTATTTTTTTCAATTTTTTTGATCGTATGCCCTTGCGCCGTTGTCATTATGTTCATGTATTTATTACCTTGAATGAGAAAGATCAATGACGTCATAATATGACGTCATAATGTACATTTGCTTTACAATGCTGTGTGTACTTAATATGTATAAGAAAAGCTCGAACCTTCTTTGTGTAAAAAAATACACAAATTATGCATTTTCTTTAGTTCATTTGCATTGAAAAGTTACTACTTAGCCCTAACTTAGTTGCTTTGATCATTATAATTTATTTAAACAGAATATGGAAAAATCGGAATCAAGGGAGCAGATTTGAGCCGATTTAGTTTGGAAGTAACTTAAACGTACGAGTATTTAAAACATACATATTGCCATTTACGCAAAAATATCATATGATATGTTTTTATTAATTGATGTTTATTCAAACCATACAACACATTCATTTACAAATCTTGATATTTGGTTTATTTACTGTCATAGTTTCTAAGGCGAGCAACTGATAAGCACGTAAATTTATTTTACCTTAATTTTGCGTTAAAGGGTTTATTTTTTGACACTAAATAAATCCCCTCTGATAAGGTAGAGGTTGAACGAAAAAAAAACTAATTTCACAGTTGACTGTATTTTAAAATAGTTTTGCACCATTTCGAAGGTTTTTAAAATAGCAGCTCATTCCGGAAAATATTTGATTAAAAAGCATTGAATAAGGCTAAAGTATATTTGATAAAAGACACATTGTATCAAAGTGCAATTATGATTAACAAGAGTGTTGTTTAAATATGCTCGAAGAGGTGTTTTCCTTGGCGAAAATGCTGAAGATTTTATAGTCATGTTTGAAGCACTCAAACCTATGCTACAATGTTTTATAAATGTCTCGCTGGAAACATAATAAAAGTATACCGAGTTATCGATTTCAAAATGGAGAAAACATATGAAAAAGAGGAAGGTTTTGAAAGAAGTCGGTTCACTTTATGCATAGAATGGCACTGTAGATATTCCAATTAATTGATCAACACTTGATTTTCTATTTGAAGCATTAAAATAAAAGAAAGACTTGGTGCTTACATATCCTTTGAAAAATTTTTTCCTCAAAGTCTAGGTCTTGGAGAACTGGCTTTATGAAATTGCAATGTTCTTGAATTTTTAGGTAAACAGGTATAATTGAGTACATTAAGTGAAGAACAAATAATATGAGCGCACTCTCTGATCTAAAAAATAAAATATGTCCATCAATCCTCAGAAACAGTTCTATCATTAACCAGTCAATATTTTAGATCAGAGGTTGCGCTCTATATCAAATATCAAAAAAATAACTTAAAAAATTGGCCGTTTTTGTATACTTTTTCGGAATATTTGGAAATTGACACATTTTGTGACGTCATAATGCATTGACTAGCCAGAAAATGACGTCATTTTTTATAGGATCGAAGTCACAAAAGATATAAGTGATATTATAATGCATTCTTAACTAAAACTTTGCATTTTCAGTTTTTCAGAAATTCACATGGCCAAATAAAGCAAAAGTGAACCTTGTACTTTTTTTTATCAGAACATGCATTAAATGGACATACATGTAACACAAAGTCTATCAGACATTTAACAGATTCCTTACAAATGCACGAAACAGTATATTATGCTCTCTGACAAGTGTGCCTTCGGTTTAAGATGCAACATGTTGTTTTCAAAATATCATAATTGAAAGCTTTGTAGGTCAGTCAAAAATATACTACTGTATTTGTACATTGCAATGTGTCTGCGCTGCTAAATCGCTTTGGGCAACCATCTTTAACACAGCTGGCATTCTGAATTTCTTGAATAACCCTTCCATAGATGTTAAATTCGAGGCAGCGTCCTTCAAAAATGCAGAGGTAATATTTATTTACATAAGTTTGTTTTTTATATGTATAAATCTGGAATTCCCTGTCTATTTGTTAAAAAATAAAATACGTTGTATATTTCGGATCACAACTTCCTGTAATTTTTCCTTTCATTTTTGATATCCAGTGTATGAAATAAGTCGTCTTCCATTTCTCTTGAACTTGTAAAGGGGCGACATTTTTTATACATTTCATAGAAAGACAAAATCTCATTCTCTCTCTCTTTCTCTCTCTCTCAATCGAATGAATAATGAAACTTCACCTTGAGAATAGATTGCAGGAGCACAAACTTCGTATATTTCATTAGCCGAAAAATTAATGACGCAGTGATAAGTAAAATTTTGAGGCCGAACACATTTTTGAACTTCCGCTAGACTTTGGCAATCTTTGCTTTCTTTTGCTGCTAATAATTCTTTTTCTGTTGTAGGACATTTAGAGACTTTTTGTAGAGTTGGAAGAGAAACACTGCAGGCTGTCATGTTTATTTCGTTGGTCTTAAAAGAGAGAAAAAAACAAAAAACATATACATATATTAAAACAAAACATAGCAAAAGCTATATTTTCTATAAAACGTAAAGGTTCATATTCATACATACGAGTATAATTATATGCATGTACAAATACCATAATTTTGTTTTTGTTTTTATTTTGTTTACCTTAGCAAAGATGATGAATAACGAAACTGCATATTTTACCAGACAATTCAGATTTTTCCCCATTTCGAAGTTCTAGAAAAGACAAGAATAAGATATGAAGATATGAAGGTTTGGTGTTTATTGTGCCCTTAAAATTAGATTTCTTAAAGCATTAAATTGGCTTAAATACCAGTGTAGGCTTGGTATTTAAAGGTGATAAATCATGATTGAATGTGAGATTCTGGTATGATGACCTGATAAGTTTGATATATTTTTTATCGTATCTTTTTCGTACCTACTGCGACACGGGACCTCGCTTTATACAGTCTCATCCGAAGGACAGATCTCCACTTTCCACAGTGGGATTAGAACCTGCGATGTAAGATTGACTCCTTACTTCGCGACTCTAGATTAGACGCTCTTACCACTGCGCCATGCGGGCTACTTGAAATTATAAAAACAACATTATAAATTTATTATTTTAAAATTCAAAAAAGAGAAACCCATGGAACACAAAGCTCTACTGATCAATCTTGGCCCTCCTACGCAGATAAGATAAGGCTTCCAAGAGAATATTGTAGTGTACTCTGTGCATGCACTTCTTTGAACTACAAATGTATGACGTCATAATTGAAAATGACGTCAAATCAATGCATACTGAAGTTGTTATGAGAGGGATAGTGCCATAAACCTTACATCTTATTTTTATCTGCACATTAAGATGCAGAAATCTTGTTTAATTTAAACAAGTTTTGATCATATTTTTAAAAATATAATATATCCGAATAATTTAAATACCTTTGTTTTATTACTTTTTTGTAAAATTCAACGTGTTCAAAATATTTTGGAAAATAAACCTTTAACATTTATCCTTTAGTATCATACTCGTGGATAGAGGCAGAATTCATAATATGCGTATAAACGAGCCTGGCGCAGGTCTCTTATGAGGATTAATTTGAGATGTTTTGTGAAAATCTGTGAGAGGAGTTATCCCTCTAACTGAATCGTGCTTCGGAAGAATGTATAATGGGTTTGTTTGAAAACAAATGAAGATCATAAGCGGAAAAATACCCTGAGAATTGTCGGTAAGTTGAAGTTAATGTAGAATATTTTGTACCAGAGTAATTGTATAACTTTTACCTATCATATTTCTGGTTCTCAATGATTCAGCATTTTTTTTAACATAAATATTACCGTCACGTGATCGATGAGGTCATGTATGGGTTATCGAAACAAATATGTTAACTTGATATATAGCCAAGAGAACTCTCTGTAAGAGTTGGCGAAATTTAGAAACATAACTTAAGAATAAAACTCAAAATCGACCTTGCAGTGCTCTGTTACATTGTAAACGCATTTTAATCTATGGGAAGCCTTAACAAGAATGACATCGTTCAAGAAATTTTCGAACAACCTTCGTTGTACAACTAAACTCTGTAATTGGTGACCTAATCCAATGCTTTAGGCGTGTATCCTTTACAATACAATAATTATCCAAGAATACAAAAGAACATTCATATTTACCTCTCTGTATTTCTTGTGAGAGCAGAAAGAACAAGGCATTAACAGAAAACCTCACTTGAAGTGTCATCCCAGATGAACTCTAAAAATAAAACTCATTTCAAACATCAATAGAAATATAATTTTTTTGAATAAAAAAGGGAAAAGCACAATTTATGTTAAAATAAAGATTGAGGCTAATTTCTGCAGATAGAGTCAATGAAAAGAATTAACACACACACACAAACAAATACAGTCTCTCACTTCCTCGATCCTCACAATCCAGACACACGCATACACACAAAGAAAGAAAAGAAGAAATAAACAAGGCACATGTTGTCTGGTCTTATCTTATTGTATTGATCTTAAAGGTTGGGGTGGGACAATTCAGGGTTCCATCAAATCGTTTTTTTCCGATTCCGTTTGAGTTTAGCATCGAACTTCCATTTATATTTCTTATCATGAAAATAAAGATTAATTATACAGTCATGTATCTGCCTTTTCAACTCCTTTTATTATTGCCAACAAACTTTTATAAAAAAGAAAGGAAAAGCGAAAAAAAAACTAAATCTCTGAATGCAAATTCACACAATCAATATCAAAGTATTAACATTGTGAAAATAAATACTTTCGATTTCTTAATTCCTTTGCGGCCATTTTAGTTTATACCCGTTTGTAAATTTTGAACAGAGTCATTGAATTATGGTTCGGTTCACCGCGTCGAAGAGAATGAACCCCGATGTGTCGAAGGTATTCGGTGCACTGCAAAAACAATAATTTTAGGTAATGATAAGGTTATTTAACATTTATGTTCCCTTAAAAAAAGCATGGGTCGTCATCTGATATATGTAATGATACAACCGTTCGCAATACAGGTTGTGTACAATAATGTTAGTTAAAAAAAATAAATTACAAACCTCTACAACCTCAGAAATGTCATAATCAGCACATAAAGCATATTCATAGCCACTGAAAACCTGGTTTTTAAATTTTTTTTAAAGGAAATGATATTTTTGGAGGGTAAGATCAATTTCCTGGTCGAAACACCTCATGCATGTATTAAGCTCGAGTTACCTGAAAAAATACACCATAAAAGACTATCGATCCCGATGACATATATAAAGACAAAAATGCAGTGTCAATGCCGGAGATTGGTTGCAAAATTAATTTTAAGTTAAATGAAAGGGTCAAAGGAAGAAAAAAATTCATTTTAAAAGAAATCTGTAAAACAGTTCATTCCATCTTTACTAAGGCTAAAAATTACAATTGATCAGAAAATTAAACAAGCCTTATACATATCCTTATAATATCGCCAAGTTGTAATTAAATCAATTTATTAGGTTTAAATATATAGCAAGATTACGAGAATTGACATCGCCAAACACAATTATACATTTATTGTAATCTTAACATACTTTCCAAAACTACAGAATAATATATATAACTAACAAAAAGAGTATGCATAAAGGGTTGAAATCAATATTCCACATGTTTCCAGGTTTTGTGCTTTTCATGACCTAAATTAAGGTTATACTGGGGGTATTTTTGTGCAATTCATTTTAACAATTGTCAAAATATCTTTATGTTCATAAAATTAATGTTGTTACATGTACTTGAGCTTAAAAGTGCATACATACATCTTTGAAGTTAATGGGTTTTTTTTTTTCAAATTTACTGTATGATATCACGACTTATATGTTTCAATGGCATTTCAGATGAAAATATATTAAAAATCCTATTTCGTCTTAAAGAGTGGGTGGACTTAACGCCCTATTTTGGATCTTTTTGAGACTACTCTAACAAGTTGAAAATAAAGTGAATCCAAAATATATTACAACCACTAGAAAGAGCGACGTATACATGGTTATTTTAGCTAGAAGATATGTACAAAAGCAATGCCTTATTGCCGTGAATCAAAATTGAAACAAGGATACATTAGTCTTGTCTTCCGGAATTTGACATGTACCCGGAGTGGTTTTTAGGTCGCGCTATCAATATTAATAGGAGGCGGGGCTATCGATCGGTGTCGTTGTTGACATTTTTCTCTCTCTCTACCTCTCTCTCTAGAAATTTGAATACGTGTTTGGAATATTACAGCGATGTCTTTATGTTTTTTTTTAAATTTGAGGACAAGCAAAATTAAAACAACATTTAATGTGCTTAATTCTGAAAACGGCACCAAACATAGTGATTTACATCTAGGTCAGGTTGAAGAATACAATGTAACTGTTTCCACGAGTACACTCGCAGGTGGACATCACGTGATGAATTGTATATTTAACAGGTCAATCGAAGTCGTAACAATGGAAGCGAGGAGTTTGTTTGGAACATGTTTTTTGTTAAATTAAGTGTGAGTGCACATTTGTCGGCTCTTCTCCTTTTAATATGACATTATTTTGTTCAATAAACAACTACAGTTTTCGTAAGAACGGCCGACAAACATGCGCTGACTATGTATTCAGACGATGAAAAACGCGTGACCCTGATTATCTATTGATATTCAACAAATCTTCAGGCACCATGCCTTCGATATTTATTTAGTTAACCTCGAAAGGAGCATTTTAAATTCACATTCGTACCATAAACACACAGTTGAGATATCGGGGGTTTATATGATGGAAAAAAATTAACATTTTATGGAACTTAAATTTGCAGCAGTTTTTCTGGCTAGTTAAGTCCACTCATTCTTTACTTAAACTTCAAGTTGTTGGACAGGTTTGATTGACACATCCTCGCATTTTCACAGTTTTTTTAATTCTTAATACGTAGGGAAAGTGGTAATCTTGTTTTGTATAAAAGAAAAATATCAAAACTATAATCCAGAAAATTCAGAGTAGAAGTGTTCGAATGCAAAACATACACACAGTATATTGTCAGTCCGTGTGTATCCGAGCAGTTACTGAAAATGATTAATCAGATTATGGTATCCATTTTATTTATTGAAGTATAAAAAAGACATTGAGCTATAACAAATATAAAGATTACATTAGAAAAAATTAATATAGTTTCATGAACATTGACTATAGGTTACAGTTGATGCGGCATACAAATATAAGAAAAATGTTCTGTAGAAAAATGAACTTTAAACGTAAAGGCATATTTGAGAATTAACTCAGACAAGATAAAGTATAAATTTTTCAAATAAAATAAGATGTCATATTTAAATCTTTAATAGTTAGGAACAAGTAAATAGATATGAAATTTACATACCATAAGGTGCATCTCGTACTAGTTAGTTCCTTTACTGAATGTAATTCTGCCCATTTTGCTTTGTTTGAACGGTTACTTAGACTCAAGTAATTTACAACTATTGGATGATATCAAATGAACTAATGAAATTGAAGATTAAAATATTTAAGATTACTTCAGATGAAACTAAAAATAGAATGATTCCAAAACGAATAAATATATATCAAGAGATAAATCATCATAATAAATTTGGTCTACCACATACGCAGTGTTGGTGAGCAGACTTTAACAATTAAACACAACCGTTGAATCGTAGACTTTAACAATTCAGAGCTTGTGCCGTGTCCTTTTTACAAAATCTTTGTACCCGTCACAGGTGTGTTCAATTTTCTTAACTCTGTACACAACACTAAGGTTGGAATGACGATACTTGTGAAGGTGTTTTGCTTTTAAACATTTCTGCTCTGAATATGATTATTCTTCTGGATTAAAGTTTTGATATTCTACCTTAATACGCAATAAGATTGCCATTTTCCTTAATTATTAAACATACAATTATAATTTCTGAAAGGGCAGGGATGTGTCTATCAAACACATCCAAACAAATAAAGTTCTGATAACTTTTAGCTAAGATAAAATTTTAGTATTAATATTTTCGTTTGAAATGTTATTATAACAAATACGTCGTGCTATTTTACAAAAAAATAAAACATAACTTCAAATCTGTGTCTATGCACTTTTAACATTCCGGCTAACAGCAGTTGAGGTATGACTCTTCAATCAAGACCAAAGATGTTACGTCGATTCTACCCTACCCCGTATTCTAGGCGAATTGTACTGCAGATATTTAATGCAAAAAATTAAATCATCAAAAGCCCACATTCAAACTTGGTTTTAGTCAGGGGTTGTGTTTATCAACATATCTTAACGACTTAATATATGTTTGACGAGCAACCGTATCAACATATAACAAGTCACAAGATAATTGTTTGAAATATTTTGTATATTAATATCATTTCGTAAAAATGCCAATTAAAAAAACTAAGGCAATGCAGAAAGAGTACTGAGGCTTGCATTTTCTGTCAAGGAATAAGCCTAGTGAGAAATTGAGATTTTCCATCATATTCCATAAAATATAGGACAATATTTTACTGATCATGAAGACATCCTCATTAACTTTGTTTTTTATTCTTCCTTTTTTTGTTCGAATGTTCCTCAATAACCGGAAATTTTATACAAATGTGTTAATTGTGTATTTTTTTCTAAATGAAATGTGTTTGCTGGCTTTTATCCTTTATTTACCAATATTACATACTATGTCTTTTGGACGAGAATGCTATGGGTAAGTTGTCAATTTATGAAATATAAAATTTTTGTTTTATTTTTCTAATTGTACTGCATGAATCACTGTATGAAAAGTCAATGTGTCATTCTCCTTGAAATGAAAGTACAATGTTTATTTTCTCTCACGGAAACAATTTCCAAATATTTTTTTCGCATATGTAATTATATAGCGGTATTCGATTTTCTTTAAATATCTGGAAAAATGCAAATACATTTTATACACTTCATTTTATGAAAAACGGCATGAATAAAGATAGAATTAAGCTAAAGTGGGTGAAAAATATTCTCTTTACTAAAGTATGTTAATCTAGTGACTTGATTTACAATGTTTATTATTAGATTATTGATAGGAAACAGATGAACAGTCGTTATAACTGGTAAAATACTTGCGACAACATATTGACAGTGAATGTGTCAAGTTGCTGTCTTTTCTGACCAGTTTTTTCACGTATTCCGCATCAGACCTTGTAGATTACTGATTCGGCTTCGCCTCGCCCAATACGTATTACCATTTCACACCCTGTATGACTCCGTATTAAGTCACTAACTCACTGTGTACATAATTATATATTATGC